AATATTATTTATTGAGCAGAAAGGAGAAGGAGAACCGGATTTACTACGTCTATATTGTCACACTCAAGCAGTAGAAAGAGCCGTTAAAGCCGTGACAGAAGTTTCAGCCACTATATGCGATAAAACATCAAGAGAGGGATTCATAGACGCCCAGCTAGATTGAAGGAAAGCTATGCGAAAATTCGACAGCAAGAAGGATTTTAACGGCACCTAAACATTTCAATTAAATAATAATTTAGCTAATGAGAATAGTTATTACTCTATTTTAATATTCTTCTATTAATAAACAAAAGATTCTTATGATTTTCGGTCTTTATATTAAAAACAAAAGATCTTTGCTTGTCAATATGCAATGGCCCTTTTTTACTATATTTCTTTAATTTTCATATGACTCCGGAGGCAGAAGATTAATTCCGAATGCTATCAAACTCCGTATACTATTTACAGTCACCATTTAGCACCTTTTAGTCACTGTGCTCCTATAAAAACCAAACTTTTTTTTTTCTTCATACATATTTGACCCACCCTAATGAGAGTATGTCGTAAAGTATATTTCAAATAGTTGATTAGTATTTTTAATAAACCACTCACGCACATACAAGTTACTACCTCATTACTACCATTAATCACATCCGTCGTAGTCATATCAGTATCATTGCAGACTCTGACCTTTATACGCAGTGCCTCTATAAACACGTGAGATCGTAAAGGGACCCAGAAGTGCGTGTGTACACTATTGTTCAATTATTCAGTAACGCGCCTGAGCACTGAGCGACAGTGAATAGGGCTGTTTATTACCTTTCAGAATAACCTTTTCTAAACCGTAACTCGGAGTGATTTAGACAAAGTATTTACCTTCATTTCGAAGTAGTTTATCGCCGAGAGTTCTCACGTACTTTACGATACGTCAAGTGTTCGTTCGTTTAATGGCCAGTAACGTACTCGTAAAGCCTCTGGCATTGAGTTTGTGTTCATGGTCAGCGGTATCACTTAACATCAGATGAGCCTCCTGTCCTAAACGTATATTTAAAAAAAACGTAAACACGTAATTTTCAATTTTTGACAGGTCAAATATAAATGTTCGTGTTTATGTTTAGGCCCAAACTCTTAGAAGTTAAGTTTTTCATACAAAAATATTTTTCTCTTATTAACATCGCGCTTTATATATTAAATGTATCTGTGAAAAAGTATATATTGACACTGATTCTAGTCTTAAATTCCCAGTGTTACCCTTCCGACCTTTTTTATCAATTTTTTTGGTTCAAACGCATTTCCACATTAATAATTTTCTTACAGGCTAGTAAGTGACCTTTCAAACCGTAACCGTTGTTATGACTCCAGTTTATGCATCTAAGCCCTTTAAAGTTGAAAGAAAATCCGCTTAAAATAAGTAAAAGTATCAGAACCAAATTACACAATTTTATGAAATATGCGAATATTTCAACTAAATTAAACTGCAGGCTATCAGTACCTTGTATTACACATAACATTAGCCAGACATTTTTTTTTGAAGTGATAACTTCTAATGGGAGGGTAAACCGCTTTGTTACGTAACGCGTTACGGCGCCTGTCTGTCTAGCTTCTCTTTATCTTACGCATACGGCAGCGTAAGGCAGGCTCCTCCTCTCTCATATTTTTACAGAGCCGTATTTCGTACAGACGCTTTCCCTCTCTCTACTCAATGTTTAGAGTGCGTTAGACAATTACTGTTGACAGTGAACATGCTACATCAAGACATAGAACTGTACTGAATGCAGTCTTTGCAAGATTTTTAGATAAAAATGTTAAAAATTTCGTTGCTTATTATGGCTACAATAATAAATAGGATTAAATAATGATACTAATAATGTACATGTACAAAAATTGTAACTGAGTATAAAATATATTTTATATTCATAAAAGATTTTATTAATAAATAATATTTCCTTATATAAAATTTAAAATTCTAATCTTTTCTCAAGTTAAACAATTTCAATATTAAATAGTCAACTTAGATTAGTTTAAGTTATCACTTCTGTCGGGCGTCCCGAGACGCGCACATTTTTTTAATGAAATTTCGGTACGCACGCTTTTCATAGGCAAGAAACTTTCACACGCTGAATACAGCAACTGTACAACTTTCGTATGTTGTCAGCCCTACAACTACCCTTGGATTCACGTTTTAAATACAAAAGGTCATGGAGCTTAGGCATGAGTCAGGAGCTTCGTAGACCTCGTTAATTTACTTTAAATGTTAAGTTTGACATTATACTATTTTTGGTCCATATTTAAGTTATTAGTAGTATCTATTATAGAATACATACATGTCATGTTTAACAAACGTAATTAATTACTAAATGTCATCGTTATGCTGTACTTTCTGAGTAAGTTTTAACTTTATACAACATAATCTAAGTCACAATAATAAAGAAAGGGTACATTACCAGTGGAGTGACACAGTGCAGAAAGGAATGGCGGGATTTGGAGAAAAAAGGGCAGACATACCTAAAAGAAAGAGATAGAAATATAAATGTGTTTAAATGTAAAATTATCTGAATTTAAATGCTATTATTATTACATATTTTTATTATGATTATTGTACACCAGATTAAGAATATTGAAATCATAATAATTACATTTCAAAAGATCAATTCATGCTTAACGATTTCTGCATAACAAGTGCAATAGCGTACACTGGTCTGGAAATTACATGGAATAAGTTAAGAATAAAATATTGTAAATTTACATAAACTTGTATTAAAGCCTTTTTTAAATTTCTGTGACCATACAGCATTTTATTCAAATATAGTACAAAACCAAATATTTAGTCTACAGTGTGTCCTGGAAACCTTCCTTTTCTAGCGCTCTTGACTTATTTCTATGCCGGGTAACACTAGACACCTATCATAGATTCATTTATAATTCTTATTCTTAATGTAACTGTAACTGGGAAAACAGTCTCCTGAAATACAGTTCCCACTACACGTTTATGTAATCACTTTGCTACTATTATTACTTTCTAAACCCTTACTTAGGTATGCTTCGCTGAAAAATGTCACCTAGCACGTGAATGTTTTTCTAACACGAGTAAAATTAAAGCAAAACTCCGAGTAAAATATGATCACTTTGTGAGCGAGTGCTTTGAGCAAATATTTAACGGAAACCGAAGTTACGGCTCTAGTTGAAATGCGGTTGCGAGCGTAGTTATGTACGATCCTAGCGTTCCTTGCAGGCAATAAATTTGTAAAGGAAGCATCTGCTTACCCCCGCTTCAACTCCAATTCTTATATTGCGTTTTTGTATTTTATTTATTTATTTATTTTCTCACAAAAACTTAAACTTAGGACATAAGCAAGTGACAGTTATATTCTTACTTCTGTTAATGGAAAAAGCTAGTATGTGTGAGACTGATGCCTGCTAAAGGTAAGAGTACCTGTGTTACAGGTCATCAGGCCTCCACCACTACGGATCGACAGAAGATCTTATACAATACAATATATTACAATATTTAAGGAAACCACATGGGGTATGTGTGTATGTGTAAATTATGTGTATGTGTATGTTTTATATTTATTACTTAAATGTAAATCTAGTAAAGCTAAAACTATTATACTAAAAATTTATTCCCTATAATAAAGATTAGAATCAGATTTAAACTTAACTATTTAATTATTGTCAACATTTTTTCTGTTTCCTCATAGTTGAGGTCCAGTAGCCACAGTGCAACCGTCTTCTTGCACTCCTGTTTAGTTAGGGGACATGTGGAAACGGAAGAGTTGACCTTATTATACAAGTAATCCCCCAAAAAACAGAAGAATCTCTGGGCAAAACTTGTGCGAAAGGGCTTTGAAGTGCACACTATGCCTTTTCTACGCTTGTTATCTTTAAGGTGTTGGTCATAATTGATAAGTGAGTGCTTGCGTAAAATTGTGGCAAGAATGAACATTTGACGCACAGAGAGTACCTTCCAATGTCTGTATACCTCTGTGGTGGGACAAATGAAGGGAAGGGAGGCACTAACCTTGAGTATTGCCCTCTGAGCTCTCTCTATTTTCAGAAGGTGGGTTTTTGCTGAGCCACCCAAGAAGAGATGCAATAGCCCAGAATGGATTGACCTAGCGACAGGTAGACAGTTTTTATAATTGTGTTATTGTTATTTGAGGGCCAAACTGAACATTTGTTAGAGGAAGCAATTTTATTTATGAGACATGTAGGGGCGGTCAATACAAGCTTAAACCCAAGTTTGTGGGGTTGGCACCTTTGTTCCCCGACCGCCATGTTGGAAAAAGGGGTGAAAAATCGTTTTTGGCTATATCTGCTAAACTATCCATCGTACAAAAATGTGTGAGGCCATATTTTATAGCAAACCGCTTTGCCTACAATTATGTCTGTGTGACTTTTTATCATAAATCCAAAATTCAAAAAGTTTTGTAGAGGATCTCTTTCGGAAGATTTTCCGTCCTCTAACAAATGATCAGCAAATGTAATATTTCAATGGACTAAATAACATCGACAGATATTAAAAGACAACGTCAAACAAATTGAGTCCTATTATGTACACAATCATTGGAATGGGCTTATAATTTCTAATTACAGCCAATTGGAGTCGGAATCGATACTGGTGTTACCTCGATAGGCTTGAGCAGACTTTTGTTGGGAGTATTTTTGACAACAATAGGCCCGAATACGTCGACAGACAGCTTAAGTGGATTAAATATATAACAATAGGGTTTATTGCGAGTAGTTCCGCGTACAATTAGTGCGTTAAATACGGACGAGTTGTTTACAACATTTAATACCGCATTTGATTAACTTTCAGTTCATGTTTTGGTTTAGATTTTTAGGCTTTTTACTGAGAAATATGACTGTTTTATGATCACAAGAAATAATAATAGGTGTATAAGTAAGAACTAAACCATTTCAAGTTAAAAGCCACGGCCAAATTCACTAAAGAATACAATTCTGGATTAGGATATCAAGTACTTATGTGTATTAAATTAGGGAGCAACTGTTAGGATACCATGATCGCTGATGTGAATTCGGAGGTTTCGACGGTGACGTCAGAGCGGGGCGGGGGAGGCGAGAGGCGCGCGCCGGCGGCGGTACCCAGCCGCCGAGCCATATCTGTTGCTCTGTTGCGCGCCGAGCGCGGAGGTCGCGTAACGACACGCCGCCCGCCCTACGTAGATCGTAAACAAAACAGCGCGATACTAGTAATGGACCTTGCCCACGGTCACGGCTACATGACTACATTGTGTTATTTAAATGTTTAAAAGTGTTGAGGACCACGCGCCGGGGTAAACGGCCCGACGAACGCCTACAGACGGTCCACAGTAGTAAATAGTGCCGTAACTTCCCAGACTCCCAATCAGGTGATGCATCATAATTATTAAGTCATTTGGAAATAGTTAATGTGTTGTTGTGTAATAATAGAAAAGACTGGAATTTCTACTTAATAGGTATTACTTTTTTCGATTTTTATAGTATATTAGGCAAATTACATAAAATAGTAACGCAATGAAAAATTTGTTTAGCCGATATTTAATAAAAAAACAAGTAAAATATTTTTTAAACAAGTATGCGTTTAAATTTAATAACTGCCGATGGCTTTGAGAAAAGAAAAAGATTTATAAAAACGAAAATGATAAAATTTATTATATGTCTATTGCTTAAAATATTCATAAGTTTTTCGTTGATTTCAAAACGTTTTGTGATGTCTGTGGGTAATTGTGAGTAGATACTTAGCGATAATCATGTCAAAAACATTGATTTGGCATATCATTTGGTGCTATTGACTCTGAATCTTAACCCTTAGTCAAACCAAACGTGAGGATAAAATATCATTTGCAAATAAACGATTCATTATTATTTATTATTATTATTATCGAGTAAGCTTAGTAGAAAATAAAAGCGTTCAATTAATAATTTTTTTTTTTTGATAGTATCTTTAGTGAAGCATAAGAAATTTTATAACATTCTTTTCTTATTACTCAAGTGATTCACCTGCTTTGTTCAGTGTATAATATTTATTTCTCCGGGGACTGATGAAGAAATTCAGTCTTATCCGTATTTCAATTTATATTTAAGTGACGTTTTTAATGTTTAAATATTTGGACGACCAGAACCATATTAGTTTCTTTAATTTAATTTTTGTTTTTAAATCACGTTGTATTATTAATCATGATGACCCACAAAAAATATTGAAGGTAATCAAACCATGATCCGGGTAATTCCTTATATGCTAAGCATATAAAAATAGAAAAGTAATGCAAAGTTGAAATGTATAATACCTTATTTATAACAATAATACACCAGTCTAATTGCACCGTCATGTCTCATTTAATCACGAAAGTGAAATGTAATTTCACATATTGCTTTAATTTCAATCACTCTAAACTAAATCTAGCAGTGTTGGCCAAGTGACTTCGGCGCGCGACCTCATCCCTGAGGTCGTAGGTTCAATCCTTGGCTGTGCACCAATGGACTTTCTATGTGCGCATTTAACATTCGTTTGAACGGTGACGGAAAACATCGTAAGGAAACCGGCTTGCATTAGACCCAAAGAGTCGACGGTGTGTGTCAGGCACAGAAGGCTGATCGCCCACTTGCCTATTAGTTGACAAATGATTATGATATTCTAGAATCTGATCGGTGTTGTAGTTTATATGCAAATTCGGATTTGAGTGTTTCGTACCAGCAAGCTACGTTTGACAGTAAATTACATTATCGGATTGCATTAAGAGCTTCAACGATTAATATGTGCATTGTTCACAAATTCATTTGTACAGCTGAATCTAAATTATGTGAAGTTTATTTATGTTAAGAAAGCTTCAATGGTGCAGCTCTAACAGAGTCTTTAAGGGCAATGCTGCCTTGCGATTCTGTAACTCACTTTTCGAACTTTTTCTTCACAGCGGCGGTCGCGCTCAAATCAGTCGTGAAACAGTCATTTTATGATTTGGCATTCTGATAAGGAGGGAGCTTGTAGGTTATTGTATTGTTTCGAAAAGTGAGTTACAGAATCGCAAGGCTGATGTCGCTGGTTTGCACAGTAGTACACTAATAGATTCTTTAAAAGAAATCTAAGATTGTTTGTCTAAGACGTACCGGTTCCATGACTATATTCAGCCACCATGAGGTCTAAAATCAAGCTCACACAACGTGTGCGCACAAGCTCACATAGCTTGTTTAAACACTTTTTGCCGCGCACCACCACTATGTGGAGCCAGCTGATCATTAAAGTATTTCCGCAACTGACCCTTCACGAAAAGAGGTTCAAAAGTGCCCATGAGCGGTGTACGAGCCAAGACTATACATTTTGCTCACTCAAGCTTTCTTAGTTTCATAAGCGTGGCGATTTCCTATATCGTCGGAATTTCGCCCCGAGAGTATAGCCAGACGTAGGCACTCTCTTCGACTGTTACATTGCATTCATTCGTTACATAGCAATTAACATTTCATTATTTCGCTTATATTCTTTTATATGCGAGTGGTTAATGTAGAGTAAAACTAAAATCCTCTATTATTTAGCACCCCGATTACCCAGGAACCGTACAAGCGGTATCACTGGATAAGCCCTACCGTTTGCCCCTGATATATAATCACATAATACACCATCCAAGATTACCAATGCCCTCTACAACTTAGTTGTAGTCCTAAAATACAACACAAATTTTAAACTACAGAACTACGGCACATTACAAACAAGTATTGAAATAAATAATATACCTAGGTATAATTACGACAAGTATAGTGAAACAGTTAAGTGTTTGATGTAGGCTTTAATCTGGCTTTCCTTTAATTTAAAGGATGCCAGTTGGGTTCGAGGCTGTAATTAAAGTCGACTTACAAGACTCAACGTTGAGATTACTCTTGATGGCACCGGTCGTCTGAAATGCGGTGTATGGCTTCTAAAGGTTCTCATGAATTTTAAACCTATTCATAGAATAGGTTTGATGATCATAAAATTTTACGTATTTTTGGTTGAAACGTAGGTAGGCCAAAATATGTATGTTTGGACTGCAGCAGAATCAATAAGTTAACTAAAGCGCAGTATAGAAGACATAGAAAAAGCAAAGTAAAATAGAGAAAAAATTTATTATACAACATTAAGAAAGTAAGCGGATACAAAAAGTATATAAACTTAAGTGGAAGGGGCGGGGCAGATGGTAAGAGGAAAAGAAAAGTGGACCAACAAAGTATTAAAGTGGTGCCCAATGTACAATAAAAGGAATAGAGGAAGACAATTTAAAGGGTGTCTCATGACAGAGGGTAGCACAGTGCGAACAGAAATGCTGGTATTTGTTTGCCAAAGAAAGGGCTAGGAGCCCTTTTTTGGCAAATGAAAAAACAGTGATACTTAGATAGAATTAGTTATTTTTAATGTACTTTCTCGTCATCATCACAAGTGCATTTGTGATGATACCATCTATGGAACATCCTAGATATTTATTGAAATTGAAAAGAGGGCACTAGCTCTTTTCTTTAACTTTTCCTAATAATGTATTAAATCACTAAATGCAATCAGAAACTGTTTAACTTTAATTCTAACCTCGAAATTATATTTGGTTTTCTCATTTCCGTAGTATCACGTAGGTTTAGTTTTTGCAGTGCTTACAAAAATTCCAGCAATTATATATAAGCAGAATTAGATGTCGTAAAGATTTCTCTCCTTGTAAATACAATACAGCCTGTTTCTCACTGATAGCTAACCCGACCCACGTTGATAGTAAAAAGCATTTTAAGAGGAAAGGAACATAAATTCTTATCTTTATTATACAAACTATACACATTGTTATTTTTAAGTTATTTTCATTTTTTCTTAGACAACTTATTCTTTACGATCTGTTAAGCTATTTTAATGTTTGAATCGACTAATCCGTTTTCTATCATCCACGCAATTTAAAAACTAACACGCAAATAATTTTGTGCCGAAAATAGATATTGGGAGTATGCCGGAATGTAGTCGTATATCATGGCATTTTATCAGTCTGCATCGAAAAATTGAAGTTTTTATTAAAGGTATTTCGATAACATTCAATACAGTTTTATTTATGCAAAAGAGTCTAGCATACGTGAAAGTCAGTGTTTGTCTCGGATTATACATCATAGTACCGACCCCAGATCTGGAGCTTTTCTCGCTCAATGATATAAGTATCACAATACAGCAAAGAAATACTGCCAACATTATGGGACCAAACTTTTTAAATTTATATTAGTTTTCTCTTAATCCATTTTTAATTATTATTCTTATTACTATATAGGTTAAGAATATTGTATATACTCTTTCGTTAGATACGTTGTCTTTGGTTATGTCATATTTATATGTCAGTAAAACATGTGATAACATTGTACTAAGTTTTAATAATAGAATATTATTTAAATTAAAAAACATATTATATCTACAAATATAGCTGAAAATACAAAATTTCAACGTGAGTTTTCTCAGTCAATTTCAATATATTTAAAACAATTTAAAATAACGTAATAAATAAAAGGGGAAAAGGCATGTTATTAATCAAATAAGCTGTTTTAAGGTGGAGCCGAGATTCGATAAATTACCGTGCTATTTATCTCGTTTTAATCAAATCAATTTTGGGGATTCTTTCACGAAAATGTATATAAATAAAACAAAATGAGAGAACAGACCGGCTTTATGACAGCGATAATTAATCTATGAACCAATTGTAATAATGTCGTCTGCGAAGGCGAGTATGATTTATCGCAATTGTAGTTTGTTGTTTCGCGCTCGCGAACATTTTATGACATTGTTTCCATAGCCGAGAATTGTTTAAATGACTTTAATTTATTGTTTTTAATACTTTAATTTATTTTAACTTATTATTACAGTAATCTTATGCTTGAAAACACAATTATTATTCATATTGCAATGCAATTCCCTAGCTTACAACACTATTAATATACTAAATATTAGATTGCCAACCAAAAACCATACTTACCTAATCCTGGCACATCGACAATGTGGTAGTTTCAAGGGTTCCCTAGAGGGAATAGGGTCTGAATGATTTTGTTCGAACTACATTTTATTTTAAATAAATAGAGAGTTGTTTCGTGACCACGCACGCTGTAAAGCACGCGAAACGTCGGATAAATTTAAAATTATGTTAAATAGTTGTAAATTTATAATAATACATAACTTCAATCCGGTCAAAATAGTGTTTTATTAAATAAAGAGTTTTCAAAATAATTGTTATAACGCAAATGTGAGTTTTCATACTAATACTGTAAAACTAAAGAAATTAAGACGAAGACA